TTTTAGGAGAAAGAAGGAGGCAGATGCCAGCCCATGTTATTGTTTGCAGTTCAGGAGAAGCTGGGGACCAATGGATGCTCGTTTCTTAGGCAGGAATAGGAGAATTCAGCCGTCCAACATCAGTACGTAGGAAAGTGTGGTCCTCTGGTTTTACATCTGAATTAGGATAAACAGAACAGCACTAAAGAATGCTGCAGAAAGAGCCCACATACTGGAAGGAGGACCTTAAGAAATACCTAAAATCTTGTGTTTTCCTATTTTGGTATTCTGCCCCTTCTCCTAACACCAATCACCAACATCAGTTTTGTGGTCAAAGACGATTGTTTTCTTAATTCTGTGATTTCTCTTCCCAGTTTTCAAGAAGCTATTTCCTACTCCTTATACCTAATCCACTTTCAAAGAAGTACCGTCTTTCTAACATTGTTTCATATTTGTATTTGATAGCTTCCATCAGATGAGCCCGTCTTGCCTTTTCAGCCTGTTCTAGATAAAATCTGCTCTAATAAGAGTTCTTCAAATGGCTTTCTCCATTGCCAGACATTAGTGGGTAGCAATGAGAGAAAACATTTCAAATGTAATACCATGTTTCAATAAAACTAGGCATTGTTAACAAGGAAAGGATCATCTTTTTCACAAACTGGATGTGGGCTGGACGTAAAGATCAATCAGTGTAGAGGCAAGAATCAGAGGGATTTTTTAAAAAATCAATTCACTTGTTTAACAAATACTTATTGAGAACCATTCTTTGTCCAATATTGTGCTTACCCCCATGGAGTAAACGGACATACAAGACACAGAGGGTTCAAAACCACAAAGCTTCCAGTCTACAAGAAGACAGCAAAGAATCAGACAAACAACTTCCTCTTGTAGTATGTATTCTGCAGAAACTCTTGGAGTGCAATTAGAACAAACTGCACATCAAAGCTAGCTTGTTGGGTGTGATGGAGTTGGGGGTCGAGGTGGGGAAATAAGCCCTCTCTGGAGAAATGACAGAGAACTGAGGCCTGAGGGCTGAGCAGGAATGAGCTGAGCACTGAATTGGAGTGGGAGTGCTCTAGAAAGGAGGAACTAGAAGCTTCAAGGGTCTAGAAGCTGGAAGGAGCTTAGAGGATGCAGGGAGCAGTGAGGAGGCCAGTGTAGCTAAAATCTTTTGAGAGAGGGAGTAATTGATCAGGCAGGGCCTTCTGGACCATTCCAACGATTTCCCACCATTTGAAAAATAAAAAGCAAAAGGAATTCATTAAGGAATTTAAACAAGAAAAAAACCAAATTTCAATTTTTTTAAAAGGCATCTGATTATTGAGTAGAGAAGGGATTAAGGATGAGATATCAGTTAGGAACCTGTTACGTTGTAAACCAATGGCAGTGGAATGGATTCACATGAAGAAGGGGAGACCTCGATAATCTTGCATTTTTTTTTTGGAAGTAAAATCAATAGAATTTGTCAATGAACTGATGAGCAAGTGAGGAATGAAGTGTTGTAGATGACCCCAAGAGTCTGCATGAGCCACTGGGTGATGCGATTTACTGAAATGGGGACCAGACTGGGGATGGAGGTAAAGGGTTCCGTTTTGCTTGAGTTCTGTTTGAGATGTCCATAAAATGGCCAAATTTTGAAGTTGAATGGGATATAAAAGTGTGGACCTCTGAGGAGGGTCTAGGCTACAGACTGCATATAATTGGCATTCAAAGCAAAAATTCATTGAATAGAGTGGGGAGGGGCACTCAGAACTAGTGCCAAGGAAGCGCTTGGAGCACTTACATGTGTGTAAAGAAAAACGAACAATCTGAAAACGAGGCTGGAAACAGAGATTTGAGACGTATTGAGAAATAGAATAGCAAGATTATGAAAACAGAGAAATGATTGGTTATGTGAGGTTGACCTTTCCGGTTACTTTCCATTTCCCCAAAATGATATAGTTATTTTTTTTATTTACAGGAATTCAAATTACCATGGAAACCCAATACTCCAGCGATCCCAGGACCAGTTGTGGTGAGGGGCTGCTGGGGGCTTGGCAGGCCAGGCTAGAGGGAGGAGGACTGGGTGGGGGTCCTCTCTTACCCTGTAGGCCCGTCCCCATCTGAGCAAGAGCAAAATAGTTCAACTTCATTTCTTATTTTCCCTCCATTTACTCTGCTCTTTCATTTCTCTCAACCCTCTACACTTTCTCCTCATGATGTAGCTTAACAGCTAAGAGAAAGAGAGATTAAAATATATTGATTGATCCTGAGCATAATGAGTTTCTTATTTCCTACTTCCTACCATGTGGGCACACCAGAACATCAGGTTGTAGCCTCTATAGTTGTTTTTCTGCCCCTTTCTTCAGCCTGAGAGAGGATCAGGAAGGAGGAATGTGAGTGTAATCAATTCCTTGTTCAGGTCCCTAATTGCCCTGCTCCTGGTGGCCTCACTATAACCAACAAATTGAACAGACTGGTCACTCAGTTTCTCGCATAGCCCTCCCTCTACTCCCTTATCCATAGAAATAGATTATGTCATTTGAGCTTTTGCTGGTTTAGCAAACCACACACCATTTAGTTGCCTAAAACATCACCTATTTAGTTGGCTCTCGATTTGGTGGGTCAACTGGCAGTCCTTGGGTCTGGGCCATCTCGACTAATCCTAGCCAGACTCACTCATGCATGTAGGGTAAGCTGGTGATTAAGATGCAACTGGATAATCCTGGGTAGCCTCATGGACATGTCTGGTAGTTAGCAGGCTCCTGGGCAGACCAAGGGGACAGGGATAGTGGGGCCTTGTGTTATTCATCAAGTAGGCTAGTCCAGGCCTCTTCATAGGGCAGTGGCAAGGTCCCAAAAAGCAGAAAGAGAAAGCAAACTCCAATGTGTCAGCACTCTTGGAGTCTCTGCTGGATTGTGAGTTCACTATCCTGTTGTCCAAAGCCAGTCACAATGCCTAGTCATATTCAAGGGCTGGATAAACAGCATCTTGATGAGAGGAGCTGCAAACCCACATCCCAAAGAGGCCTGAGTACAGAGATGAGACCATCCATGGCTGTATCTGCAATCTATCATGTCCGTTGCCATCCACATGCTATCAACGCTGACAGGTTGTTGCAGTGCTGGAGCTGGCCTTTGGTGCCTTTTGTCTTTTGGTGCCTTTCTTGATTTTCCTGCTCCCTCTCTCTATAGCCAACTGGCCAACCGATGCCCTCAGGATATCCTTAGGTTGGAGTCTCCACTGTGATGCTAACTAATAATAGTCTGAACTCCCACCCACATTTTTCCTTAGATAATCTTAGCCATCCTGTATCCAGTGTTCTCAGCTTTGGGAAATTTACCTCTTTCATCCCAGGATTCTGGCTGTCAACTGTGGGAAATTTTGTGGAAGCCGAAGTGAGGGGTTCCACAATTTCCCTCTTCTGTTTGACTGATATTTTTAAAAACTATTCCAATTTGCATAATAGACTGAAAGGGGCAAAATGGAAGTAGAGAAGCCATTTAGGAGACTACCAAGGCATAGATGGTAATGGTAACTTGAGCTAGTATGGTGGTCTTCAAAATAGAAACAGATTAGTGAGTGGAGCCAAGAGAACTTGCTGATGGGCTGGATATGGAAGGTAGGGGAAAGAAAGTAATCAAGAGTGAAGCTTAGATTTTTAGTCTGAGGAACTGAGTGAATGGTGATGATATTTCTGAAAATAAATCGGAGTTTATAACAGTGTCTATAACGTTGGAAGTGAGATAATGTACGCATTGTCTAAAGGCTGAAATAGATGGTTATAACACAGGATTCCTCATGCAGGACTCAGTCTTATATTCAAGGGTCATT